TATCGACTCACTCTAACTGACACTCAATAGAATGACTCCTATAAGGTCAAGTCATCACCAATACTGCATGGCTAAAAGTAAAGAGAAAAATCCTGTAACAATGATTTGTTTAAATATTTTTGTTTGTTGTGAAGACTTTGTAGTTCATATCAAGTGTATGCTAAAAGTGAAAGTGGTTACTGATTAAATGAGTCTTAGTAGAGGCAGAACAACATGTTGGCACGCAAACAAACAAGCACATTATGTAACACCTCATCTGAATGTTATTGATAATTACAACTAGTTTACTGCAGCTTGAGTTCCATTCAGTTTGAATTTGAACTCATCTAAATCCGATCTGTTGGTTCCTCCAGTAAAATCCACTTAAGATAAACGTTTTAATCAAATGTTCACTGCATAAGGTCTTTCTTTTCAAGGGTGAAGACAAACAACATTCCTGTGGGTTGATCAATGCATTCCTCCTGGAGTAAGTGTTGCTTCACAGTTCAGGAGCCACATTAGAAATGTGTCATATTTGTAATGGTATGATGGCATGATAAAGCCGTGACACTAAATTGACAGTGTAAAATATGACTATTGCTTCGCACAATAAATATTTAGGAGTTGTTCCTTTTATCTGTGGTTCTCTCTGAATTGTGCAATTGTGTTTTGAACGACGTGAAGGCTGCAAACACAAAGGGGGACCGCTTGAATGCGCACTGCAAAAAATATTATCCAAGGTTCCACTGTGAATCAAGACCCTGCGTCTTGAAACAAAGCAGTGCGCACTGGAAACTTTTCGAAACGTTTTCAATGTATTTAAATGTTGATTATTTGTCTTATATTTGTTGGTTTAATTATAACTCTATATCAGGATTCATCACCTCACCAAGTAAAGTTTTGAGGTGCGTAATTTTTTGCAGTGCATCCTCTTTACGCACGCGGTGGCTGAAATTTGATTCGGGTTTAAAAGGCGCAGACAGCAGCCACAAGTCAGAGAGCAGCGTATCCTCCCAGTAAGAGACAGGTGGCACCTTATACGGATTGGAGAGACGCCACGCAGACCCTCTGGCTCTGTATCTGCTCGGGCGCACAGGGGGCAGTGCCATGCACACTCCTGCTTAGGCGCTGCTCCTGAGCGGAGGGAACCAGTCATTGGATTTCTCTTCCACCGATGACCAAACAATGGAGAAGCCTGGAAACATCACCCTCCACCCGAACGGCTCCGATCCGTTCGCGAGGAACGAGGAGGTGGCCCAGATCGAGATCATGGTGCTGTGCATCACTTTGGTGGTCGCCGTGATCGGAAACGTGAGCGTCCTTCTGGCGATGTACAACACCAAGAAGAAGATGTCGCGCATGCACCTCTTCATCAAACACCTGAGCCTGGCTGACCTGGTGGTCGCCTTCTTCCAGGTGCTGCCGCAGCTCTGCTGGAAGGTTACCTTCCGCTTCTATGGTCCGGACTTTCTATGCAGGATCGTGAAGCACCTCCAGGTGACGGGGATGTTTGCCTCCACCTACATGATGGTGATGATGACCCTTGACCGCTACATCGCCATCTGCCACCCGCTGAAAACCCTCCATCAGCCCACTCAGCGCTCCTACATCATGATTGTCTCCACGTGGATGTGCAGCCTGGTGTTCAGCACGCCGCAGTACTTCATCTTCTCCCTGAGCGAGATCAAGAACGGCTCGAAAGTCTACGACTGCTGGGCGCACTTCATCGAGCCCTGGGGCGCCAGGGCGTACATCACCTGGATCACCGGCGGGATCTTCCTGGTGCCCGTGGTCATCCTTGTGATGTGCTACGGCTTCATCTGCCACAGCATATGGAGAAATATCAAATACAAGAAAAGGATAACGATGGCTGGCGCTGTGAGCAAGAACGGGTTGATTGGAAAGAATTCAGTCAGCAGCGTCACGACCATATCGAGAGCCAAGCTGCGGACTGTTAAGATGACTTTTGTGATTGTTTTGGCGTACATCATTTGTTGGGCGCCGTTTTTCACCGTGCAGATGTGGTCGGTGTGGGATGAAAACTTCATGTATGCTGGTGAGTGTTGAACAAGTAAATCGACACTAGAAATCTGTATTCATCTTTATGGTAATTGATTTAAAAATCTCTAGGAATCCTGTGATATACAGCCAGCGTGCGCCACCACAGATCCAAGTGCGCACAGACTTTTACGCACGGGTTTGTTTGGCATACTGAAACAAACACATGCGTAAAGTTGCTATGAATAAAAACTATACAACTAAAATAGTTTTACCAAGTACAGTGATTACTCCACATAAGCAGAGTGCACTGTGTTGAGGCTTCAAAATGATACATTCAGCAGAAAAGTTCATATAAAACGTCAATTTGAGATGCAAGTAAGACTTGTCTATATGATGTTACAATCTTTATAAATAAAAATAATTAATAAAACGCCCACGTCAGTCTCCTCAGCTGGGGGCTCTTGAGAACCAACACCTGTCATGTCTAATGTTGTTTGAAATGTATCTTGAAATGATCAATTTCTCTTCCACATGCAAACGACTTTTATCATCATCAAAAAAATGACACTTGATTAAAAATAACTAAGAATGTGTTTCATTAGCTGCAGAAACTAACTTTTGTAAGAAAGTTATTTTTTGCATTTACATTTAAACGTCACGCGAACCAGCTTCCAAAGGCATTTCTGCAGCCTCGCCTGCACCAGATGTTTTTTGAATCCATCATCCTCTCCCTCTCTCCTCTCTCTGCTCTCTAGATTCTGAGAACACAGCAGTGACTCTTTCTGCGCTCCTTGCCAGTCTCAACAGCTGCTGCAACCCGTGGATATACATGATCTTCAGCGGCCACCTCCTGCAGGATTTCGTGCACTGCTTCTCCTGTTGCCACAGAGCAAACACGGACTTCAAGAAGGAGGACTCGGACAGCAGCATCCGCAGGACGACGCTGCTGACTAAGATGACCAACCGCAGCCCCACAGGCAGCACTGGCAACTGGAGAGAGATGGACAACTCTCCCAAGACCTCCATTCAGATGGAGTAAACACACAGCTGAGCAGTTAAATGTTTACCGGGGGTGGGAATGAACACATGTGTTGCAGTGACACAGAGGTACACTCACAGTATCAGCTCGTCTTAGCTGCAGACATGACTGACAGTGACTCAAGTGTCCCAAAGCCATTCACAGAGGAGAGTTAGGTTGAGAGGATATTTGGAAATTCCAACTGCTGCTTCTTCCTCAGTTCTTCTTGCTTTAGATCATCTCTGCAACAATATAACAAAATATTTGGAAAAAGGTGTAATTCATCTTCCCAATTGTTGGTAAGTGCCATTTGTGCTGACAGTTGCTTAGCACCAGTTTGTTAAATTCAGTCATAATACAACAAAAATCCATGATTCATGATTTCCTCTTTTCATGCTTTTGAGAGAAAGCTGTGGTTATCCATCCCTGCACCGCCGCCGAGGACCCTTTCCTGTCAAGGTGTTTGCAAAGATAAAACTTGTAAAGCAGCCAAGTCGGTGGTGAAAACGATCATTCCAGACCGCAGGTCTCCAAGTAACGGAAGCATTCACCTCATCCTTTGCAGCCAGCTTTCCATTTTGTTATTATTTCTCTCTGAGCCAGATTTTAGTGGGTCATATACAAAAATCATCTTTACACCAACTTTTCCTTTGGCCCTTCACAGACAAGAAATATTATGGGTGAGGGATTTTGGCTGCAGTTACCCTCTGTGCCCTTTTCGTGCATTCACATATTTCTAATGGATTTGTTTCATGTAAAAGCTGGCAGCCCTAAAGGATGGCTTTCATCTCTGTTCAGCGGAGGCAGATGGAACATAGCAGGGACATTCACGTCACACACACACACACACACACTCGGGTGCGAAGGGGGTGGCGGTGGTTTTGATTGGCCACAGTCTGCCTACCGACCCACAGACCCCTCCCACTGTTTACACAAAATGTTGGGGAGAAGCTCAAACATTCCACTAACACAACGTCAACACACTTCCTGATTTTTTTGGGACATCCTGCACCACTGGGGGTTGGGGGGTGGGGTAAGGGGGGTTGTCGGTGTTTTGGCTTCGATTTTCACTCCAGGCACAAACAATTCTCTGCACACATCTGTTATGTACAGCACCACTATGTCGCTCAGATCCACCTGAGAACACCAGGAGGAGACGGACATTGCGATGTAATAATGTATCCATTTTTATGTCTTTATTTGTACATAGAAGTCACTTGAATATCTGTAAATAAGGGAGGAGGCTAATATATGTAAATCAGTTCCATGTGGATTCTATTTGTCTGTAATATCTTGTGCACAAGATAATCAAAATATTCAATAAATATATGTTGAAATATACACGTTGATGTACTGCATGTTAAGGCTTTTGTCTCCTGCTTTCAGAGCTTCGACACAGACGATATCACTGCCGCTTCATGCAGCTGCTACACGACCATAGCAACCTCAGGCACTATTTTCCCTGAAAACTGAACACGTTTCAGGTTATATATGCAGCCAATCCAAGAGCTAAAACCCTGAAAAACTCTGGGATTATGCAATAGTGAAACATTTCAGTTTTGTTAATGAGAAGCTTCTGGTCGTTAAACTGTCCACCCCATGAATTTATTACATTTTAACAGATGCTCTAATAGTGTCTCATAATATAAACATCCATTTAACTTACAAATGTGACATATGAAAGTTGCCCAAGTTACCAAATGTTTTCTCTTCTTATTTTTCTTGGAGTTGTTGAGCCAAGGACAGTCTTTGATTTTGTATCAACCTAAGAATAAATAGCTGCTGGCTGAAGAACCATATTTACCAGTGAATAATAAGTAAAAAGGCCAAACTATTTTGGCAGCGGCAGCAACCAAGACGATCTACAAAGAGCACAGTCAACACTTTTCACAGGGTCAGAAAAAGTAGATCCAAAGAAAAGTGGTTACCAATCTGAATAAATTGAGGGGAACACTGACAGTTTTACTGGAAAGGAGCTTTGCTGGTTTTTTAAGAACAATATTTTAATTTTATTTTTTACTCACAGACAAAACACAGTTCTACTCCATTTGTTTGATGAGGGGCTATAAATCAAACAGGTATCTTGAAACCAGAGCGAATACCAAGACATCTGCATGGTTAGAAAAGAGATTGATACTTTAACTGTCTGTTGAACTCCAGCAGGATTACATGATTCCATTTAATGCTGATGGAGTCCATCACTCAATCTGAAAATAGAGTTATGAAATATTCTCATTATATTTTCAAACTGGGTCATCACAATCTTCTGCTTCATTCAATAGAATGTCAACCTTCCTATGAACTCCTGTCTGATACATACAATACTCGGCCTACTTGCAGTAGTTGTTATTTATCATTGATTCACTTACTCTGTGTCGTTATCAATGATCAAACAATACAATTCCTGAGAGGAATTCTTTTTTAATGTCCTCTTAATAGTGACAGCTCCAATCCTCCACAGCTCAGTATATAGTCCGGGGAGTCATATCACACACGTATAGAAGGGGAAGTCCTACAGGAAGTTAAATAGCTGCTTCATTTAGGACCTGCCATAAAAGATGGAGGTGGTCATTGTCAGCCATAAACAAAGAGAATAAAACAAGAGTCCAGCAGATCCCTCCTGGTATCAATGGAAATAGCACAGCTATACAGTCTCTGCTTAGTGTGGATTAGTGGGAGTATCGCTGCAGGTCTGATGTACCTATCTCAAATTCCCAGCCCAGTGCTTGTGCTGCATCTCATTAGACATGCCAACCATTGAGGCTACCTCTGCATATGGGGGGGCTAAGGGTCATCTGTCAGAGTCTAGACTGAGCAAACACTCGAGGGGGCAGTGATTGAGTTTCTCCAGAGAGTTAGTAAAATTAATGGAAAAAAAAGGAGGCAGCCAGACAACAGACAGATGGAATGATCGTAAAACAAGCAGCATTAGAAGAAGCTCTAGGTACCTGAAGTCTCTGCTCATGGAAACAGACTCATTCCTCTCATTCAGTTCATTGTGTGGTCTTGTTTTCTGTTGATATTCAATTCAATTTAAAGCAATGACACTGGAGAAAACTCAGTTTAATTAAAGGTGTGCGGTGCCTGTTCACCTGCTTGATCTCTTGTCCTGTGTCAACGCTCCAGAGCTACTTCAGAATTATTCCTTAACACAAGTGAGTCCTCCTCAGACAGTTCTACAATATACTGTCACTTTTTATTATTTGAGTGCTGGACATTCTATTCAGAGCTTTTTATAAACAGTCCATGGTGCAGAGACTTTGGATGATTTACTAAGAATATATACACGTGTGAAGCCGATAAGATGAATGGTGCACGAGATTTGTGTTCCACGTACAGACAGACAGACGTTGGTGGTATTAGTATGTAGATAGTTTCTTATACAGTATTTACTGAGCTGCTATAGATGAAGAATGCAGGAAGAAATTGGTCTGTGAAGAGCGACAGCAGCAAAGAGCTTCACATCCTTTTGTGTTCTTCATGTAATTTATGCAGCTACACTTTAGGGTATAAAAGCACAGGCGGAGGGAATCCACTGAGGGGTCCGACACAGTGAGCGGAGACATGAGCTGCATGCATATCAAGGTCCTTGTTCCCCTGCACACATCTGAGCCATCACTTCACACATTTCACTCTGTCGACTCTCAGACATTGAACATGACTTCAGGCATCAGGTTGCTGTTTCCTGACAAAGGTTTAAAAGTAAAAAAGGATCCTGGAAGCATGACTGCTTAATGGGGCTCTCCGTCTCTAGACTAGAAAAATATTTAGGTTGTGCATCATGTGGGGCTACCGCCGAGAAGATCCTCACTTCCTTATGCAGTAAACAACTTCCATCATGCTTTCCTCACAGGAAGCAAGTCCTGTTTTCTGGACAATTGTGTCCACTGTTAATCACCACCACCTGACACCCTGTTCTTTTCTTTACCCTGTGTAGAAACTAAGGCAGGCCAGTGTAAACCAAACAGTGTAAACTAAAAAAAAGCCAAGTTGCTATTCCAACAACAATGTTGCCTTTTAACAAACTGAGATGTGCAGTTTAAATTTTTTTTTATTACACTCAGCTCTTAGTTGCTTAGACACCAATAAATCCTATGGGACGAGGCTCTCTTAGTGTCCTGCTGCATCTCCCTCAGATGCATGCGGCCTCCCTCTTCCTGCTCCATTGTTCTCCTTCCAATCATTCTTGAAAATAGCACATTTCTTTCCAGCATTGTCTGGTTCAAATCAATTCCCAGAAGTCATTCAATTCATGCAAACAAGCAGGACTAACCACACAAGTACACAAAATCTGGAAATCCATCAACGACATGTGTCACATCCTGGCATCGTGAAGGCAGGAGGCAGAATATGCTGCAGATTTCAGGAAGTTTAGAAAATTACTAACAAAAGCAACAGTTTCCCCCCCCCAGGGAAAACTCTGAGGTTTGCTGCTGCATGTTTGCTTAGACATTTCAGCTGATCCACTGGAGGTCTGCCTAACATAACATTTTTTATCTTGCTCAAATACATTGTCAACAGAAGTGTTTTGCTTCGCAGAGTGCATACAGCTGAATGTCTTTTGTCTCCTTTTAGTCTCAACTGTCAGCATATTTCTGGGGTCAGGTCGGTGTCTGTAAATTATTGCTTCCTTCTAGCAAAGGGTTTTTACTCCCGCTTTTTTTTAAGATGAGTTCCTCGAAAGGGAATCTGAAATCAGATCATTGAAGCTAAGGCACATTGTTAACTGTTTTATTTGCTAATATTTTTTTTTACAAATGGGAAAAAATACTTTGTTATGATAATATAATAGTGATTTGTTTGTTACATGTTTCTAAAATGTCCACTGTACAGAGGATTTAAGGTAGAAGTAACTGACACGTTTACACTAACATTCTAACATGAACCTGATTACCTTAACAAGATCATATACTCAGAATAAATAACAAATAAGAATATATTGCAATATAATGTCCTGTTGGAGTTTTCAATGAATTAAAAAAATTGCTTGATGAAATGAAATTAAACAAGATACAAAAATAAAAAAGGAGTTGAAGCTTTTGCAAAATATGGAAGAAAACATAGAAATGAGTAAATAGTAGCATTGTGCTTTCAATTATTTAAGGTTGGGGACTCATGATCAGTCTCTTCTCTGTAACATGTAGCAGAAATATAAATGGAAAATTAGATCAGCAACTCCTGTAGACATAATCTGAATAATGTCTCCTCAGAATAAGGTCAATAATGACATCTATGTATACGTAGTCAGTGTAACCATCCACATCTGAAAGGCCTAAGGACCCGAGCGGTGAAAGGCCTGATGTTACAGGGAGAGGCAATCAGCAATATAGTCATCCAGATATAAAGATGAGGGCATAAACATTCAAACAATCTCTCCTCAAACAAGGACAGACGTTAGTTAACATGCAGAAGCTTAATTTAGCACCAACTTTGGTGTTGGCCCTGTCCCCTATAGGGACGGAGCCCTATGAATAGCAGCCAATTACATGTTCCTGGCTCCAGACGGGGCCTTGACACTGGGCGAATCAGCAAACTGCATCGACGGCAGAATCAGAAAAAGGTCAATGTTGTGCAGCTCGATGACAGGGGAACCCCTTTTACAGAGTGACTCTGTAAAATCAAATGATAATCTTGACAGTGAAAATAGTTGACGGTTGTTTTCCTGTTCGACAAGAACATCTGTGACAAAGTGGGTGAGATTGCTCTACTCACCATTGATCCCTGGCATCTTTTGACCACATTAGTTTCTATATGTGGCCCAACACTGTTTAGACAGACACTTCTGTCTTTAAAACAGCATATGGGTCGTACTAGACCCCGATGACCTCAGAGTGAGGACTGGGAACGAGGATCTGAGAAGGGAAAGATGTATAATATTATAAGTATAAGCAAAAAAAAATTTATTTCCTAATGTTTATAAAAGCTAAAATAACAGAATTATTGAGGAAACAGAGAAACAACACACTTTAACATAAATAGCTGGGACAATTATGTAGGCAGTGTACTTATCATGGGGAGATTCTATCCAAATCCCAAAAGACAACACTACGTGAGCACACTGATCATTACCACTGCAACTTACACTGCACGGACAAACAACACTGTTCAAGTGAGCACCACCCTTCAGGCCTCCCACACTGCATGCAAAGTGGTGTGCATCCCACTACTACTCCCTGTAGGTCATCCAGCTGCCTAAAACAGGGACAAGAGTGAGACTCAGTTGGTTCAGGGTCACAATAAAATATATATATTTTTAAATCAATCAATACATTTATTAAAGGTCCAACAGTCCATTAGGAATGTGATGCATGAGACGTCGGACCTACAGGATAAAACCAACGCAGAAACCAGTGGCCAGACAACACTGGTATAGGCAAAGCAGCAGTCTGGCACTTGATCTGCAAAGAGCGGGAGACGAGATCAGTCATTAAATTGCAAACAAATACACTAGAGGGGATCACACTTTGCGTTGCTATCAAACGTTACCTTGCTCAATATGGGGCCCTACTTTACAGTGACAATGAATGACTGACTCTGTGCCGTGGATCAAACAGGGGAGAGGCACTCAGCAATATAGTCATCCAGATATAAAGGTGAGGGCATAAACATTCAAACAATCTGTCCTCGAACAAGGACAGACACTAGTTAACATGAATGCAGAAGCCTAACTTGACATCAACTCTGGTGTTGACCCTGTCCCCTATAGGGACGGAGCCCTATAAATAGCAACCAATCGCAGGTTCCCTGCTTGGAAGCCAGACAGGGCCTTGACACTGCTGACAGTGTGGTGGTGGAGGGGCAAATCAGCAGAGACTGCAACAACAGCAGAGACAGAGTCAGAAAAAGGTCACTGTTGTGCAGCTCGATGACAGGGAAACCCCTTTTACAGAGTGACTCTGTAAAATCAAATGATAACCATGACAGTGAAAATAGTTGACAGTTGTTTTCCTGTTCGACAAAAACATCTGTGACAAAGTGGGTGAGATTGCTCTACTCACCATTGATCCCTGGCATCTTTTGACCACATGACACAGTCCACTCATTAGTTTCTATATGTGGCCTAACACAGTGTTTAGACAGACACGTCTTTCTTTAAAACAACATATGTGTTGTACTAGACCCAGATGACCTCAGCGTGCATGTACACAATCAAATATTGGGGGTTCAAGAAGAGCGGGAGACGTGCATTCAGTTTACAATTAAATCTTTGCAGCCAAATACACTAGAGGGGATCACCCTATACGTTGCTATTAAGAGATACATTGCTTTACAGGGACAATGGATGGCTGACTCTGTACTGCGGATCAAACAGGGGAGAGGCGAGCCCTGGCTAGTTCCTCTCGAGCATTCAGTTGTGTGACACATCCATACAACTGAATGTACAAGAATCTTCATTAGAGTTTAATCAGAAACATAGAATCCATCTCTTTCTCCCCTACCTGCACAAACACAGCAGTCACCGTCTACCAGGCATCAGACGGAGAGGCAGTAACTGTCCTAATGAAGGCAGGAAGCTCTCCAATCCCACCTGCCAGGGCAGTGCCCTAACTACTAGATATATACATGTTCATTTTCGCTAATTCACCACTGCTCTAATGACATATATCACTTACTATCCTGGGTTTGTTTGTGTTGGAAATATGTTACAGTTCACATCAAAGCACATGAGTAAACACACAGCCATGAATTTGATCAGTTACCTGCATTTCCTGGTTTTTATACCCTTGGTCATGAATGACATCACTGGGGCAAACCAAGTGGAGGGTTTTTTATTTGCAGAGGAATGTCTGCTTTTGATTTTCAGGTAGTATTAGTTATGTTCCAATACATTTCCTTTTATAGAGCAATTAAGTCAAACGAATGAGCCTCTGTAGTGGTGAAACAAGGTTAGGAGATTGCCTGTGCTGGAACAAGCCTGTGTCTAGTTACCTGCTCATTATGGTTCAGACCCTGAGGTGTGAATTGAACTTTCTATATAAGCAGCTGAGTTGAGTCCTCCAGGGGAGAGGAGGTGAGGTGGTGTTGCAACCAGTGACCAACAATGTTGTGTTATAGTTTAAAGTTACATGCAGTTTGATGAGCACTGTAAATAAAACCTCTAAATGAACAAGAAAGATTGTTTATTTTTCTATTACATTACATTTCCTTTAGCTGATGGTTTCATCCAAAGGGACTTACAATATTAAATTAAATTTTATTTGTATAGCGCCAAATCATAATATACATTATCTCAAGGCACTTTACAAAGAAGGTCAAGACCTTAAATCGTATTAATATAGAGAAAGCCAACAGTTCCCACAATGAGCAGCACTTTGGCTACTGTGGAGAGGAAAAACTCCATCTTTGACAGGGAGAAACCTCTAGCAGAACCAGGCTCAATGTGGGCGGTCATCTGCCTCGAACAGTTGGGGTGAGCAAAGAAAAACGGGGAGGAGAGGGCAGATGGGTGGAAAAGAGGGGAGAGAAGAGAGATAGTGGGGAGGGGGAGGAGGGGGAGGAGGGGGCATCAACCATGAGATAAAAAACCCAGAACCACAAGAATCAAGTAAGTACAATTAACTTCAAAAAGCCAAACTACAAGTGCTACATGTAAACATTTAACCAAGGTCTAGTCAGAAGAGATGTGTCTGTAGCCTGCGGGTGGAATACGTGTATGCTCTCTGTTGTCCCGATGGGGAGCTCGTTTCACCATGTAGGAGCCAGGACAGCAAACAGTTGTGATTTTGTTGAGTTGCTTTTCTCTCTTGAGCTAAGCTATCTCACAGCACTGCAGTGCAGGCTCAGCAGGCAATGGCCAAGGAAATTGGCTATGTACACGAGACAACAATAACATTGTAGTCTGAAACCCCCCAACAAGGCCCTGAGTCACCAGAATCCAGAAAGTTTTAGAGGTTTGGTTCAGAATGTTGAATGAGGGGTTTGTTTTGGTTCAGCGTGGGGCCCCCTGCAGGTCCCTTTTGGCTGCAGCCCCCAAATACCTTAAAATGCTCGCTGAAGATTGACAGAGAAATCTTTCTCACCTCCACGAATAAATGTGAATATGGGTTTGAGTGTTTGAGAAAGATGCAGTCATTGTTTGACTTCCTCTTCTGCTCCAGAAAGGTATTAGAGGAGGGGGTTACAACTGGCACGTACCGACACCGTTAGGCAACATGACTATTTTCTCTGTGACCACCCTCAGACCAAACCAGTGGTAAGGACAAAGAAGAAAATATAATCTCCACAAAAACAATACCCAGTCATGAGATTCCCAAAAACACTCATCTGCTTTGAAAAACGGAGGAAACTATGATGTGTTTACAATTTGTTTTCTGCTTTGCATTACAATCTCATGCAGCTATTAGTATATGCAGACTGTTTGTCTCATTTCTCAAACAACTGGAACTTATTAATCAAATATGTGCTTCAGCGTGCCAGAGGATCTCAACATGACATCATCATACCAGGGCTGCACACAAGTAAACGAGTCGCTCTGTGAATGTGCAAACCGGTTGGTAATCAAAGGCCGAGCGAGGCAGGTTTAGATGAGAGGCTGCTGGAAATGTCATCTACTCCTTCATCCAGTCTCTGTACACACAAAACAAAACACATGTGTAAGCATAAATACAGAGGTCACATATTGCACACACTCAGTCATGTATTTAATTTCTCATGATGAACCCATGACAAGATATGTACGATGCAACAAATATTTCCTAATAATGGTATTATCATTAATAATGGTAATAATATGTGTTTATGTTAAGCTTCTTATGAAATACAAGTGACTGACTCACACACACACACACACACTGCAACCACCGAAATATGCGATGCCTTCAAAGTGGAGTTGTTGCCTAGAAACCAGCAGCATGTTGGCAGCTCATACCTGCAGGTCAGGGGGAAAGTGTACCCACTGCAATTATGAAAGCAGTGGTCACCAGCTCTTAATGCTCCTAATACGTTCTGTCTGGTTAATGCCCCATGTTCCAGCCTCTCACTGAGACGATGCCTCCTCAGACACAAGCGTTACTTGCGTCTCCTTTCAGCACTTCTCCTCTGTGGATATTGTCGAGGAGCGAACGGGAGGACGTGGCTGAATGTAAAGTTCACGGCTACAACTATGTAATGACCTTTACTGTGTCGCAAGGAGAAGAGAGGAGTCTCTCTGCAAATGTATACGTTTGTGATGAGTCATCAGTTCAAACTGACTGAATCATCAAATGCAAACAGAGATGATAAGCCACATCAAAACCTTCATCTTAATTCAATTATAAACTAGCTGACGTAAAATATATGTAGCATTTCATTGATTGAAATATTAATGAAAGTTCAGCATCCTGACAGTCTGGTGGATGAAGCTGTTTTTCAGTCTGGTGGACGCTCCAACTGAGGAGGGGGGTGGGGGTCCTTCACAGTGCTGGTGGCTTGGTGGGTGTCGAGGATGTCCAGCAGGGAGGGGAGTGAGGCACCGGCGATCCGCTTAGCTGCGTTCACAATGTGTTGGAGGCTCCTGCAGTCAGTGGCTGTGCAGCTTCTAAATCACACTCGATGTTGCCTCAGTAGAAGGTGCACATGATTGGTGATGGTGCTCTTGTTGTTAATTTCTGCCCGGGATGCATCTTTGCAGAAATCAAAAACTTTATAAATAAACATGGACTCCTAATACAATAATTATTACAAGAAAGGTAGATAGAATTGATAATTGATGTATAAATATATTGGATAACACATAATAATGTGATTCTTCCCTCTCAATACATTTTAGCATGATAGAAAAAGGAGAGTTTTAGATGTGACGTCATGTAACAATACATTTTATACACATTTTTCAGATCCTATGCCTCTTCATGACTTTGCATCATTCCCTCCAACATATTTTAATATCTAACTATGGTTTGTCTCTATGTTGTTATGAGTTTTTAGGGCAAGTAATATCCATAAAACACACAACATGCAGGTTTACTCCTTTATTTCTCAATGTTTTCTTATGATGACTCACTATCTTTGATTGACTTTTCAAAGATACAAAAAGCACATCATTATTTCAGCTGTTGTGTTTGATGGCAGCAGCATAATTCTGCTCTTTGTCTAAATTGCGAGAGGTGATTGTCAGATACGACCCATCTTATTTTAAATTGCATACAACAAACTAACACAAACATAGCACATATCATAATGTACTCTCAACTCGTCTGTGATCCCTTTTTTTCATTTAGAAATATATAATCTTATAACTTGATGATTTGACTAACAGATGAAATGCCTCCAAAAACAACACGTCCGAGTTCATAACCACATCAACAACCCACCCTGTTCATATCCCTGTTTCCAGAGGCAGACCCCAGGTTTATCCTTTCAGGGGAAAGGTGTTGTTTACCAAAAAGTGAGAAAAGCAATAACAGAGACAAATGCTCAGAGTGGGCTCCCCTGGGGAGCGTCTTGACCACCCCCAGCTTAAACCCCTTGAAGGAAGAGAATGGAATCTAGGGCCTGTTGACTCCCATGAATCACACACATTCACAGCTCAGCCCTGCCACTGGCAGTTAAGTTGTGTGAA